CGCGTACAGGCCTGTTTGTGTGTCTGACAAGAGAAACGTTTACTGAAAACCTTCTCAGAAGAAGTACACACACACACACACACACACACACACACACACACACACACACACACACACACACACACACACACACACACACACACACACACAGAAAGAGAGAAAGAGAAAGAAAAAGAGAAAGAAGAAAAAGAAAGAAGAAAGAAGAGAAAAGAAAAGAAAGAAAAAGAGAAAAGAAAGAGAAAGAGAAGAGAAAAGAGAAAGAGAAAGAGAAAGAGAAAGAGAAGAGAAAGAGAGAGAGAGAGAGAGAGAGAGAGAGAGAGAGAGAGAGAAGAGAGAGAGAAAGAGAGAGAGAAGAGAGAGAGAGAGAGAGAGAGAGAGAGAGAGAGAGAGAGAGAGAGAGAGAGAGAGAAGAGCGAGAGAGCGAGAGCGAGAGAGGCCTTGGTACAGTTCCTTTATCCCTTGGTAGGTGTGCGTAAGGATGTGTGTTTATATCCGTGGGAAAATGTTTTCCTTATTTAGTAAGAAGTTGAGTTGTTAAGAATATCGTTCATTTTGGTTGATGGATCTTCATCTTCAATCTCATTTTATCATCGGCATCTCCCTCCTCGTCCTCATCACCACCACCACTAGCGTTTTCACTACCATCATCATCATTATCATTATCATTATTTCCCACCACCACCACCACCACCATCACACCACCCCACCACACCACCACCATCACACAACCACCAACCACCACACCACCACCACCACCACCACCACCACCACCAACGCCAAGTACTCCCACACCACCACATAACACCACCCCCACCCCATCCCCCCACCCCACCCCCACACCCTCATCATCCTCATAATCCCAAGTACTCCCGCTACCGCCCCATCTCCCTCAGCCCCGTCAGCTTTAACCCCATACGTGTCTGTGTTGCAATGAGCATGCACGGCCACCTTTGACCAGAGCACAATGACAAGGGCATTGCAAGACCTCCTCCTCTGCAGGCTCTCGTTTCTACCCGGGCAATCGAGTCACGGCAGCATCAACAGGGACCCAAATGCAATTTATATCGGCTCTGGCACTGGGTAGGCTTGGCGGGCTTACATTTGCAATATTGCAATAAGTTGGGGCGTGTTTTTTTTGTTCCTTATTCCCCCCCCCGTTGTTTCTTGGCTTGTTGCTTGTTTTTTTTTTTTTTTTTTTTTTCGTTGGGGTTGGTTGTGAAGGGGTTTTAAATGGAAGAGATGTAAGCAGAATTCCGAGGATGTCAAGTGGGAATATTCTGGTGTAACAACTAATCATAATGAACAGGATCATTAAATCATCACCATAATACACACACACACACACACACACACACATAAATATGCATATACATACATATATATGCATGTATGTATATATATATATATATATATATATATATATATATATATATATATATATATATATACACACACATACATACATATATATACATGATAAAAAACTGCAGTATTTGACAGAGAATCGAGTTCCTTTTTCATATTTGTTTCCATCTAGAGTATACTGATGTTAGACTTATATCAAATAATAACTTTTATATCTTAAAACGTTACTTTTGTATTTTTAAACACACACACACACGCACACATACACACAAACACACACACACACACACACACACACACACACACACACACACACACACACACACATGTACAGGAAATATATAATTTTCAGTTTTATTGCCATTTTCTCCTTCCAGACGGCTGAGAGTTGTCCTCGAGGAATTCTCTAAAAGTTTCTTTTATCACAGAAATTCTTCACCTCTTATAGGAGAGGGGAAATATAAGCCTGAAAGTCCTTTTTTTCCCCTTTATACATCATCAAAAAGAAAGATTTCTGTGATGTCGGACACTGAAAAAAAAAAAAAAAAAAAAAAAAAAAAAAAAAAAAAAAAAAACAATCCGTGTATAGGTGTAAAGGCATTCGACAACTCAATCGCGATCTTTTCGTAACCATGAGAATTGGATTTGATGTTTCTCCGAGTGACACGAAACGCCACAACGAAGTCGAATTCTTGCAGGGGTCGAATTTCTGTTAGCTTGGAATTGGCGGTCCGGGGATTTCACTCTGTGTGCCGCTCCGTTTGTGTGGCCGCGTTACTGGGCACTTTGGCCTGGTCTGTCTGCCGGTCTCCCCTCTCTCTCTCTTTATTTTTCTTTTTCGCTTTCTTTCTTTCTCTCTGTCTCTGTCTGACTCTGTCTCTCTCTCTCTCTCTCTTTCATTTTATCGTTCTTTCTGTGTGTGTGTGTGTCTTTCTCTCTCTCTCTCTCTCTTTCATTTTTTCTTTATTTATTTCTCTCTCTGTCTCTGCCTGTCTCTCTCTCTCTCTCCAATCGTTTGTCTTTTTACCTTATTCATTTTCCATCCACCCTCCTCCACCGTTCGTATATATATACACCAATGCTTCCACTTAGAAAACGTGACTCTGACGTGACCATTTTTCGTCTCTCCTTTCAGAAAACACGACAAGCGATGACTGGAATTACACTCTGCCCAATCTGCTGGAGTACCTGGACGGGCTGCTGGAGGGCGGAGGGCAGCCCCACAGCAACCCCATCCTCCCGAACCCCAATAAGGATGCGGAGGCGCCGGCCACGACCCTCTGGGGGGCCCTCACCTCCTCCTCGACGCCGCCGACGACCACGACCACCACGCCCGCGCCCATCAACAAGCCCATGTTTGTTATGAACTTCACTCTGCGGACCACGGTGGACACGCTCCTGCAGACGCGCGTCAACCTGTCCAAGGCCCTGGACCCCCTGACGTCTCCCGCGGGGGCCGGGGGCAGCGTCCTGGGCCTCGACGTCGACCCCTCGGACGTCGGCCTCGGCATAGGCATGGGGGTGGCCACTCTGTCCTCCGCCTCGTCCACGTCCTCCGCGTCCTCGTCCTCCTCGCCCTCGTCCTCGTCCTCGGCCAGCACCCCCGACCTCCTCCTCGCCGGGAACGAGTCCCTGGTCACCCTCGACGACTCCTTCTGGCTCGCCGGCGGGAACGACTCGGCCAACCAGAGCCACTTCTTCGGCAACGAGACCTCGGACGGCCTCATCGTGGACACCGTCGGCATGGTCATCACCTCGGTCATCCTCGGCATCATGATCCTCACGACGGTCATCGGTGAGTCGCCTTGTCGCTTTTGCCTTTGGACTGCGCTGCCGATTGTGTTTTACTTGTCGTGTGTGTGTGTGTGTGTTTGTTTGTTTTTGTGTGTATGTGGTTGTGTGTGTGGTTGTGTGTGTGTGTGTGTTTGTGTGTGTGTTGTGCATGTGTTTGTTTGTTTATGTTTGTATGTGGTTGTGTGTGTGCATGTGTGTGGTTGTGTGTGTGTTGTGTGTTGTTCATGTGTGTGTGTGTGTTGTGTGTTGTGTGTGTGTTTGTGTGTGTGTGTGTGTGTGTGTGTGTGTGTGGTTGTGTGTGAATGTGTTTGTTGTTCATGTGTGTGTGTGGTTATGTGTGTGTGCATGTGTTTGTGTTGTGTGTGTGTGTGCATGTGTTTGTTTGTTCATGTGTGTGTGTGTGTTTGTTTGTTCATGTGTGTGTGTGCGTGCATGTGTTTGTTTGTTCATATGTGTGTGTCTTTGTGCTTGCGTCTGTGTATGTGGTTGTTTATGTGTGTGTATGTGTGCATATACGTTTGTGTTAGTATCTGTGTGTGTGTGTGTGTGTCTCCGAATCTGTGTGCGCGTACCCATCCGCCGATATCTAATCCACATAACCGGCGACGAGCGAAAAAGTCGTCGACGCGTCTCGTTCAACCAATCTATATATCTGCTTATCTATACTACTTCCACCTGTGTGTCTCGCTCCCATTATCCTTGCTCGCAGAATCCAAATAATCAGCCGCGCAATATGTAAAATCCCATTAGCTCGATGGCGCGTCAAAGCCATCGCGCTAATGAAATGCTCTCCGCGGCCATTTTCAATTCCAGAGATAACACACTTGCCTCATTCATCGCATCCCCTGATTCTGCGGATCTCTCCGCCTCCCGCGCCGTTTCATAAGCCTTCTGCCCAGGAGACCTTAACACCATAACACAGCGCGAGGGCATGACGGTGGTTTCACGTGTGTTAGTGGCTAGGAGACCTTAACACCATAAATCAGCGCGAGGGCCTTTATGACGCGGTGGGTCACGTGTGTTAGTGGCTAGGAGACCCTTAACACCATAACACAGCCGAGGGCCTTTTATGACGGTGGTTCACGTGGTGTTAGTGGCTAGGAGACCTTAACAGCATAACAACAGCGCGAGGGCCTTTTATGACGGTGGTTCACGTGTGTTAGTGGCTAGGAGACCTTAACACCATAACACAGCGCGAGGGCCTTTATGACGGTGGTTCACGTGTGTTAGTGGCTAGGAGACCTTAACACCATAACACAGCGCGAGGGCCTTTATGACGGGGTGGTTCACGTGTGTTAGTGGCTAGGAGACCTTAACACCATAACACAGCGCGAGGGCCTTTATGACGGTGGTTCACGTGTGTTAGTGGCTAGGAGTTAACACCATAACACACAGCGCGAGGGCCTATGACGGTGGTTCACAGGAGACCTTAACAGCACAGCGCGAGGGCCTTTGTGGTTCACGTAGTAGTTACACAGCGCGAGGGCCTTTTATGACGGTGGTTCAGTGTGCTAGGAGACCTTAACACCATAACACAGCGCGAGGGCCTTTATGACGGTGGTTCACGTGTGTTAGTGGCTAGGAGACCTTAACACCATAACACAGCGCGAGGGCCTTTATGACGGTGGTTCACGTGTGTTAGTGGCTAGGAGACCTTAACACCATAACACAGCGCGAGGGCCTTTATGACGGTGGTTCACGTGTTAGTGGCTAGGAGACCTTAACACCATAACACAGCGCGAGGGCCTTTTATGACGTGGTTCACGTGTGGTTAGTGGCTAGGAGACCTTAACACCATAACAAGCGCGAGGGCCTTTATGACGTGTTCACGTGGTGTTTAG